ACATTTTTTAGAACTCTTCTTTTTCTGCCAATTGTAATCCAATTTTTCCCTGAATCTTGTTGCCATCAATTGTTGAATATAAAAAATCGAAGACAACAAAAATTAACTTGCCAATACTAAATAAGTATTTACATCTTAAGATAACAAAATATATATTTCAATTTCCAAACATAAGCTGGTTTATCTGAATTTCCACAAAATATAGACAAATTTTAATAAAATTTACAATTGAAGGTTTATCTGAATTTGAACAAAAGACTCCAGCCACCTCAATAGCTCACATTTTAACAATCTTCTATCGCTGCCAAACACTTCGAACATTTCTGAAAAATAAAAAATCCAAATTTACAAATCCAAATTTCAACAAGGACTACTTAAAATCAAGTAATGAAAAATAAGTATTTCTGAAGAAAATTCAGGTAGCAAAAGTTTACCTTTTTTGCGATTTCCTTTTACACACGTCATTCGCACTTAATTTCCGAGTTTGAGTTTCTTGAACCTGAGTTTCTTGAACATGGGCTGGCATATGAGGCATGCTAGATGACTCAGAGACTGCATGAGCGCATTGTGTATGAGTTGATGGCATATGATGTATACTTGAAGACTCCGGGATTGATTTATGTGGTTGAGTGCCTCCTTCATCGTGCAAATTAGACGATGTAGGAATTCTACGATCCTGTAGGAATTTGATGTATGCCAAAATATTAATTACTACATACATTTGCAAAATACAATTTCCAAGTAAAATAATTACCCGTCTAGACGTGGAAGGAGCTGAAACTGCAGCAGATTCAGGAGCCAAAGAGTTTGTTCTTGTGAGAGATCGTATAACATCTTGCACTGTTTCTTCGATTATGCTACGCAAGCCAGATTCTATCTCTTCCTTTAATCCCTTCCGAATGGAATCCACAAGGATATAAACTTTTTCCTCAACAAGTTTCGTTTGATTTTTTAATGAACTCACTTGAGTAGGTGTTGGACCAAAGCCATATTTTCTCATCTGCCCTGGCTTTTCTGGACCCAAAAATTGAGCTAAAAGTTGATCTCTCATTTCTTTTGATTTCAAGCCCTCTGGATTTTTGGAAATCATTTGTCTAAGATTTTCCTGTAAAATGATGAAATTAGAACTGTATAACTGAAAGCCGTAAACATCGAATTGAAATAACATAATACATACGATGAATTTAGATGTCTTTCTATCAAGTGGTGTCTTGGCCAAACCAACATGTGTTGCCATCCAAAAGTCGTAATCAGTAGGATCTTTGCCATTTTCTATTTGCATCTGAAAAATGAAACAAAATAAAAGAGAGCTATATGTATTGCATCTGAGTAGCATAAGTCAAAGAAGTAATACTTACAACAAAACATATTTATCTATTACAAATTAAAAAAAGCTCGGTACCTCATTCCTAACAACTGCATAAATTTTTTTTCCAGTTCTATGTGGCACTTTTTGCTTTCCTCGGTTCAGAGAGTTTGTATCACTAAGGCACTGCATAGAAAATAATAAAATAGGTTAAATGTTGGATATTATTTTTTAAACGATAATATGAAATCATCAAACCTCTGCCCTTTTAGAACTCCAATGATGAACTAAAGTTGGCCACTGATCTTTTTCAACAATGTCGGGACAATTAGCTAATCGCTCAGCATCAGTCTCGTGTATAGAATAATAAGTTCTTTTAACCTCAGATTTCCAATTCTTCCACATATTGCCCAACTTTTTAAGAAACTGAGGTTTAAAATTGTCTTCGAGTGAGAAGTTTGCCTGTTATAAAAAATTAGAAGAACTGAGTTTGCCGATTAAACCAAGTACATAATCTAATGTATCTAATAATGAAATATGTTCACTATTTCATCACATACAGTACTATGTTACCTTATACTCCAACCACGTTATTTCCTTGTTGTACTTGTCAATTTTTCTCCAATCTCCAACTGTAAGAGGAAATCGGCTGCCACTTTTTGCCACACGACCCATCTGACTTGAAAGTTTTGCTGCATTTTTACCAATAGCTTGATTAAATTCATTAACTTGAACTTCAAATTTTTCATTGCCCCATGATTTGAGCATTTTTGTACGACCTCGCCCTTTTTTGTTGTTCTCTGACTCGTCCCTGGATTCAAAGTAAAAAAATATTGAGTTTAGTAGAAAGTTGATAGTGTAACTGAAAAGATGATAAATTTACCATCATATGAAGCATCATCTGCATTGTTCTCCGATTCCATAAATCCACCACCATTCGATGGAACATAAGAATTAGATGATGATGGTTGACCATGTGAATATACATGATGGAAATGCGAATCAGAATGAGAGGGTGGGAATTTTGCATTCCCTTGATGAAAATGTTGCTGAGAATGAGAGGGTGGGAATTCTATATTCCCTTGAGAAACAGCGTTTCGTATGCGTTTCTTGTGATTCATAATCTGCGAGAATAAAACATTGACACATATATTATGTAGTGATTTCACAATCAATCTCAAATAGTTTAATTGATATACTTTCGATTATGCTAATGTTTATTACTCGAACTTAAGACATAGGGACAACTTAATACCTGAATTTCTTAGCCGGCAAACTTGCACAAAACTTGCAAATGAGAGTCGAATAAACCTGTTGTTAAGAAAACGAAAATCAAAGTGTCATGATTTGTACCACTAATCTAATAATCCACAATATACTGTAGAATCAAGAAAATAGTTATACAAGTCGTATTTTGAGATATCTTGAACAGCTTAATATATTGACCACAAAATGTAATAGCTATTTACTACAATAATCTAACAACGCTTAGAGCCTAAATCCACTTATTCATAAATGCAAACAGGAGTCTCCCCATGATATACCCAATTAGTGTAGGTATCAAGAAATCCATACATTATCAAATGTTCGTAAACTATTCTTTTTTTCCTATTCATTAAATTTTGACAATTGATACACGGACACTTAATTTTATCCCCCGATCCCAGATTTGCGTATGCAAACTTAAGAAATGATTTGGCACCATTTACGTATTCGGGCTGCAATCGATTTCGGATTTTAATCCAACTTTTATCCATAGATAAAATTGTTTATCCCTTGGATTTTATATTATGTTTAGCAAGGCCAAAGAAAGACCTGCCACCCAAACTTTTCAATGTCACAACAATAATCTGAAATTGTAATTTGTTGTTTTACCAAAACCAAGAAAATATGGAACTCAAATCTGAAAATTATGCACTTCTAAAATTGATTATGAAATACACGCATAGATAGACACACATACATACACTAATCATTGTTGGATATTTCAGAGCTTGGATAACAGCACCGCTAATTACTCATCAAAAACCTTAGCATCAATGCATGTTCCAGCTGAGCCAGCGATTCTTATAGCTAGTTGATGCTTACATTGAAAATAGGAAGAAATTATTAATCAAATATTCTCATTTCTACCTCATTAAATTCGAGAATCGAATAATAGAATAATGCTGGATAAATAGAAGTAAACTCACACAAATCCCTCCCCCTCTGTAAAAAATGTTATTATGAGCACAATAATGTTCTGGACAGCAAATTATTAAGGACAAATATGAGCACAATAATATTTTGATAAATTAAAAAAAATTATGAACAAAATAACCATTTCATATGCCCTATTTTATCTTATCAATTTGTCAAACCTAATTTCAGCATTCAATTAATAATTCAATACCACCTCAATTTTTTTCCAAAATCTGGAGAAACAGACTAACCAAAGTTAAATAGCAGCGGGAGATGACGATTTCAACAACGGAGATGATGATTTCAGCAGCGGTGACGATGTAAGAATCGGTGACGGTGGCGGTGGCAATATCTAATTTAGGGCCACAGATCCAATTGCTGCAAATTTGCGGCCGTGGTACCGGGATGTGGCAACAGCAATCGGGGCAAAACCACGGTATTGTCACGCTGAGACGGTGGTGGTGGTGGTGGTGGTGGTGGCGGTGGTGATGGCGGTGGCGTCGGCACTTGCCGTGGCTCTGGAGGAATAGTGTCTCGATGGGTTTAAATTGAAATAAAAAATAGTTCATTGTTATTATTACTTTAGAAAAACCCTAACGTGGAGATTTAAATTGAGTTTAATTTGTAATAAAAATAGTTCAGTGGTGAATTAAATTAAGATTTTTTGTACGTCTTTGAAAGCGTGATTGACTTCACGTTTATAAAATTTGGAAAGCAACAATACAAAAAGACGAAGCCTTTGGTCTACAAAATTGAAGTGCAAATACAATATTTTATTAAGTTTTATATGACGGTAAAACGTTAGATGGGAGTGCTTAAAAAAACGTCGACAATACACCTTTATACGACGGTTTTATAGCGCCAGCAATATTTTGAAAAGCGTCATAAATACGTGTTTATACGACGGTTCTAAAACCGTCGGGTAAACAAAGGGTCGTATAAACCCCAAATTGTTGTAGTGTTACTATTAATCGGTAAATGACTTGAGCAAACAAATTAACGAGTTAATTGTGAAATAATATATACATATATAATAAATCAAAAATCTTAATTGTTTTTCCGCCCTAATTAAAGTTGTAATTAAACAATCAGCATCTCTTCATAGTTCATATAGTATAACAAATTTGAAGCATCTAATTATTCAGTAAAATTAATTAAACTAATCAATGGCTAATTAATGGCATAACTCAAGCTCATTAGCATCATCACTTCATGAACATAGTCAAAACATAGGAAAATATTTATTAATTATTTAAAGGAAAAATATTACAGCACCTAATTAATTGCCTATATATACAGCAACATAGAGAGAGCATTATTCATCAATTAAACTCAAGAAAATATTTAATTAATTACCTCCATAATAATGGATTTTCTCACCATTTTTCTTTTTATTTGTGTTTTTTTATTGCAAAAAAATGTAGCAGAAAACAGTTTTGATAAATACTATTCACCTCTATGGGGATCAAACCACTTATCAGTTGATCCTCAAGGAAATGAAGTCCAACTTCTGATGGATACATCCTCAGGTTTGTATATATATATTTATACATAGATACAATATTTATTTTTCATGCATATGCATATTTATATATATTCTATACTAAAAAAAAAACTCTTTTTTTTTTATTATTATTTTTGTTATTTTTGTTATTTGTTTTTTTGTAGGTGCTGGATTTAGGTCTAAGTTGGATTACGGGTCCGGTTTGTTCCGTATAAGGATGAAAATACCCGAAAAGAAAACAGAAGGAATTGTTACATGCTTTTATGTAAGAATATTACTTATACATATGTATGTAAATATTAATTTTTTTTTTTAAGTTTGATTATTAATGTGTATTATGTATGGTTAATTGGCAGTTAACATCGGCACCGGATAATCAAGAACCTGGGAATCATTTTGAACTTGACTTTGAATTCTTGGGCACTAATGGAACTGTGCAAACCAATGTTTACGATTACGACGGAGGCCACAGAGAACAAAGTTTCAAACTTCCCTTCGACCCGTCGCAAGATTTTCACACTTACGGAATCCTTTGGAACCCTAGCCAAATTGTGTAAGCATGCACGTATATATATACATATATATTAATTCTTGTTCATTTGCAATATGATCATATATATATAATTGAGCTTATTGAATTTAATTTGCTAATTAAGTAAACTCCATGCATTTTTTTCGCACATAACGTAACCCCTAAATAGTGAGTTTTTAGGGGGCATTTTGCCAAAAGAAAAAGAATCATAGGGGTTTTTCGCATCAAAATAATACGAGAACTTTTTCAGCAATTAGAGAATATACAACGATGTTGAATGCAATAAATGATCTTTGTGGGCCATGCCCCCCCAAAAAAACATATTATTCTATTTTTTTTAGTATTGTCACTAAGAAAATAGTGTATAATTGGCTTTCGTCGAAATTGTGTATGTACAGATTCTTTATCGACGGAATTCCGATAAGAGTGTTCAAGAACAACAGTGCACAAGGAGTGGCGTATCCGTCAAAGGCAATGCATATTGAAGCAAGTATATGGAATGCAGATTGGGCCGGGCCAGTTGATTGGGCCCAAGCCCCATTTGTGGCCCATTATCAAGATTTCGATTTCTATGCTTGCCCTACTCAAAACGACGACGTTTCTATTTGTGGGAATGGGCACTATTTTTGGAATAGGCGTCGACACTTGGAGCTAAACGACGAGCAAAAGCAACAAATGAAGAGTTACAGAAGCGCGTACATGACTTATGACTATTGTTCTAGTCCTTCTACTAGCAAACAAGAATGTTCACTTAATTGATCTTTGATATATGTGGTAAACTATCTATATATACACAATATCTATATATATTCGACCAAATTTGTAATTTGTCGAATTATTGGAAAAATTATAAACATGAGGGAATTGAATTTCACTTTTTGTTTATTTTGACTGTTTTTTTCCTTTTCATGAATCTCCTTTAATTTTAATTATATATGCATCAAATAACGAAGAAACGTCAATTCACAGTCAACTGTCATCGAATACGTGGAAGCCCAATCAATTTACAGCTTGTAGTCTGAGTTTGAATACAAAATAAATTTGGAAAGTCAACTGTCATCGAAATTCCGTTTAAGACCCTCCATTTGCTTGTACGTCGATTTGAACATGATCCAACGGTTCGAATTCTCAGCAACGGGCCGATCCAAAAATCTATATATAATATAAAGGGTTAAATACAAAAACACCCCTGTACTATGAACTTTGTATCATATACTCCCATGTACTACACATAAATACAAAAACCCCTCTCACATTACGTTTTTCTCAAAATATGACAAAAAATACCCCTACTCAAGCAAAATATATATATATATATATATATATATATATATATATATATATATATATATATATATATATATATATATATATAGTTTGAGTTATTTTCCATTATATATTTTACCATTTTCAGTTAATTTTACGTGGGAGATTATTTGGTATTTATATTTTTTTCTCTAAAACATCTAATTGCTTATATATTTTTTTTAATTTTCTAAATAAAACCTTTTATTTTTGTCATTTTGAGTTTCTTCATGTTTTTTTTTCTTAAATATCTTCCGGTAGTTTAAACATCCTAAGATTACAAACATCATTTACAATCCTATTATTTTTTAGAATTTGAACTACCGGAAGACATTTAAGAAAAAAATGAAGAAATTCAAAATGACGAAAATAAAAGGTTTTATTTAGAAAAAAAAACTAAGTAATTAAATGTTTTGAAGAAAAATATAAAAATATCAAAATTTCCCAAGTAAAATTAATGTTAAAAAATATAGTGAAAAATGGCTCAAACAAATCCTTATATTCATAGGCCTAGCAGGGGTATTTTCGTCATATTTTAGAACTCCTCAAATTCTTAAAGACCCCACCAGATTACTTTTATCCAACTCCTCATGTAATTGAAATTGCCATACATACATACAGTTGACCCATTTTTGTTTATTACAACGTACTCTCATCCAAATCCAATAAAGAAAAAAGAAACCCATCAAACCAATTCAATTCAATTCAACACAACACACACTTGTCTTATTATTTTAACTCCCTCAACTCCTCCGATCCATCTTGCGCTTATTTCGGATCTTCCAATTATATCTTATGTTTTAAATTTTAATACATGATCATCATCTTGGAAAATGCAAGTTGACTTCTCTATACACTAGATATATAGAGCTTGTGTTCTTGGCCAGCCTAAACGCTTATCCTATACTAATCAAGAGAGAGAGAGAGAGAGAGAGAGAGAGAGAGAGAGAGAGAGAGAGAATGGCTCATGCTGCCGTATATTCGCTTAAGTGGGCAATGATGGAGCTTGCGGACATGTCAGCATTCCAAAAATATTATTCCGACGACGTCGATATCGTTTGGCCGGATGCTGACTTGGATTCATTTCTCGAGGCAACCAAGCTCCTTCCTAGCTACAACTTAGTTGATGATGCTGCTTCCGAAAGGCGAGTAAAAGATGCAGCCCAACAACTCCAGGATCTGATCGAATCCCATGTATCCGATCTCTTATTACGACTTTCCGATCATCAATCTGAAAGCTACTCTTTCGATGATTATACCGGTTTCACTTTCTCCTTCTCCCAACAACTATCACAACTCAAACAAGAACTCAGTTCGTTTCTCACAGCATTGAACTCCACTGAACAACAACAACTAAACAAGTCTTCTTCTGATTATAGCAGCCTTGGGAAACAACAAGATCTGGTGGGACTGGATGAGCAAATAAAAGTACTAAAAGAATGGATTCAGCAGCCCGAATCCAGTCTCAGGGTCAAAACAGTTGCGGGCATGACCGGGATCGGTAAGACTACTCTCGTTAAACATGTTTATAGCGATCCAAATGTTGTAGATGGGTTCCAAACTCGTTTATTCGTGCACGTCGGCCCACGCTACAATAAATTGGAAGAAATTATGCTGCTTGTTCTCAATCAACTCGGCGTCGTCTTTCCCACCTCTGATGAACTACTTCACAAAAACAAAGACTATCTGAGAAATCAATTGTGGGAGGCTTTATCCGGTCAAAAGTATCTAATTGTGTTAGACGACCTGTGGACTAATACTAAAGTCTGGCATTCGATAGAGTTTAGGGGTTTCCCAAGAAACGAAAAAGGAAGCCGCATCATCATCACGTCTCAGATCCAAACCATAGATCACTTTTGGTTTCTATCCAAAAGGATTACCCCATTGCCGTTGTTGAACGACGACGATAGTTGGAAACTACTTCACCATACGGCATTTTCTAGTGGATACAAGTGTAGTTCGGAACTTGTGAAAATCGGAAAGAAGATCGCCAGAAACTGCCAAGGACTCCCTGCGGCAATTATACAGGTTGGAGAGAATATCTATCCTTCTGATACTATATTTGAGGATCAAAATTGATATTGAAATTGTACATGGACAAAAGTTGTTTTATAATACTATAGTATAGGCATGAAAACTGTAAACATCTCTTTCTTTGTGTATCATTCTTTTTTTTTATTATTGTTTCAAGAGTTTCTTTTAGTCTAATAGAGTTAAACTCCTTTTTTTCTTAAATCGATGAGATTTGGCAATTATTCAGGTTGGAGAGAATCTACGTGGAAAATTGGTTCAAGAATGGAAGACATTATCAGAAAATGAAGATCCACTCATCATCACAAGAAATGACGATACACCCCTCTCAAAAGCACTGTATTTTAGTTATATGATGTTGCCTCAATATCTAAAGGTATTCTTTCTCTATATGGGTGTTTTCCCAAAAGAATATGTGATTTCTCGATCCATGCTCATCAAATTATGGGTTTCTGAGGGCTTTTTCAATTTATTATCGGAAGACCTTCCCGGAGATTACTTGGATAAACTTATTTGCCAAAATATTGTTTTGATACAAAAGAAGGCATCTGTAAGTAATGAAACAACTAAGAACTGCAGTCTGCATTTCACATTTCGGAGTCTATGTGTTAATGAAGCAAAGAGTGAAAAAATTTTCCACGTCGTGAAAAAGTACATCGATTGTATGCCAGAGAAGATGAGAAGCCAACACCGCCTGTGCATCCACAATAATGTTGTTCTTGCTTTTAGAGAAGTTCATGAGTGGATGGAATCAGTTCCAAATATACGATCTCTTCTTTGTTTCGGTCCAAAACAACAATATCCAATAGTGTTGCCGTTGTGTTTTAGATTGCTCAAAATACTAGATGCACTTGGAGTCCGTTTCTACGAGTTCCCACATCAAGTGTTTTCACTAATTCAGTTAAGGTATCTTTCCATCACGTTTGATGGAGAGCTCCCCAACTCCATATCGAAACTTTCGAACCTCGAAGTCTTGATTTTCGGTCGGCATCACAACATCAAATCGTCGAAAAATGGTCCGGCTTATCTACCTATAGGGATATGGAAACTGCGTAAACTGAGGCAACTTTATTGCAAAGGCTTTGATCTGCCAGCTCCTCCTTCTTCGGATGGTTCTCATCCGGTTCTTGAAAATCTTGTTACACTTTCAGGTGTGAGTGTTCACAGTTGTACCATGAAAGTTCTTTCAAGGATTCCCATGCTAAAGAGAGTAGCTGTTCAGATCGAGTCGGCACACGATTCACTGGAGACCTTCAGTTTTTTCAGTCAATTTACCTCGCTCTATCAAAAATTTGAGTCATTCAAATGCATCGTTGTAAATCCTAATCTCGGGCCCCACATCGTTCATTGCATTCCGAATTTTCCTGTGAACATTAAGAAGATAACTCTGAGTGGATGTGGATTTCCGTGGAAGAAAATTGAAGTGCTTTCAGCATTGCAGAATCTTAAAGTGCTCAAACTGCGATGGTATGCTTTTTGTGGGCCCATTTGGAAAATCAGTGGCGCACAATTCCCTAGTCTTAAGTTTCTGCTGCTGGAGGACTTGGATATAGAACAATTGGAATTCGAGGATCGAGGCATGCGTAGTATGCAAAAGGTGATTTTTAGGCATTGCTACAAACTAAAAAGTTTACCGGAAAACTTGAAATTTATCAGTCTAGTAGAGGTGGATGATTGCAACTTGTCTTTTATGAATAAAATGCGTAGATGGCGATCCATGCTTGGTTTTGAAGCTAAAATCAGTTCGTCAATTACACCTCGGTGAAGTGATGTGTCAATTAACCTCGTGCAACTTGTTCTCTCTTTCCTCTCCGTTTGTGGCTTTTTTTTTTTTTTTTAACTCTAGAGGTGGTATTGATTTTCTATATATCATTTGGTAGGCTGAACAAGTTGTAATAGGAGTTTGAATTTTGTTTTCCGTGATTTTTATTTCTCTACATATAACCTAGGTACTCTTTTCCTTGTTTTAGGCCAACAAGGTTTTTAATGAGGCCGTCACCACATGTATCCTTTGTTTATGAAATAAAAATCATTTTTTTGGCCAACAAAAAGGTAAAAAACAAAAACAAAAAAGGAAGAAACCATCAGCTGAATATATATCTGTGAAAATCAAAATAATTATCAATTGAATTGCATTATCGTTAATTCTAGACACGAAACAGGAAGCCATGTTAACCGCAATCAAAGATAATTCACATGAAAATGTGCAACAAGGCAATTTCGATTTCAGTTAAAAATAGCTGAAAGAAAGAGATACAAGAGTGTATCCAAGATTTCTGTAAATATCGAAACCCCGGATCAAATTCCCAGCGCATCCAGTTGTGGGGATGGGATCATTGAATGATATTAAATAAAAATAAAAATAAAAATAAAAATGTTTCTTAGAAATAATTATCAATGGTCATTCAATTTTTTTCCCAAGACTTCCGAAGGTTGAATCTCCATCTGGACACATTCGAATGCTTATCGGATTCAGCCCTACAATATGATAGAATTCAAATCATTTTTCTGAGCCTGTAACCAACTGATCGAACACATAGTCTCCAACTTCCATCGGAATTTACCATACAAGATTTGCAGCTAACGGGCCGGGCCCACGTGAAGGTTCCCGAATTTCTAATCCAACAAAGTTAGAAGGTGTTTTGCTCTTCTTAACTAGAGCCTCTCACTGCATTTTGCTCAATGTAGTTTCCATTTGCATAGCCATTACAAATATCCGATTCTATAGATGCCTTTCCATTCCCATGCACAGTTTGAGGCTTCTCCTTCATCAGTCCACCATTTTCACACGACGAACGATTCTTCGGGTCAATGCTTTCTGTGGCTAGTTTACTGTCCAGCTTATTACTACATTTCTTTCGTGGCTGTTTTTCGAGAAAACCAGGCGCAAAAAGTGGCTTAAACTTTGCATTTGAATTCTTACCAGAGTTTTTAACATTAACAGAGGACGGTACAGATTCTCCATGCCCAACATTTTCGGGGATGGGTGTAGATTTAGCAGTGTGAGCTTCATCTCTGACCTCATCAGTGGTAATAGCCATGGATGAAACATCACAAGCATCAGAAGATTCTTCATGCAACTCTGTAATGGAGGAAGGTGATTGAGAAACGGGAGCATCAACTTCTGTAGAATCTGTATCGAACAAGGTAGTAGTGGTAGCTCTTTGCTGAGTGTCGTGTTTTGTATCAAAAGCAACTTCCTTTGGTACATTGGGCAATTCATCGACTAACTCTGTAATGGAGGAGAGTGATTGGGAAGTGGGAGCATCAACTTCTGTAAAATCTGTATCGGTCGCTTTTTGCTGAGTATCGTGATTTATATGAGAAGCAACTTCTTCTTTTGGTGCATTGGGCAATTCTTCGACTAACTCTGTAATGGAGGAGGGTGATTCGGAAGTGGGAGCATCAACTTCTGTAAAATCTGTATCGGTAGCTTTTTGCTGAGTATCGTGTTTTATATGAGAAGCAGCTTCTTCTTTTGGTGCATTGGGCAATTCGTCGCTGTTGTGAAGTTCAGCATCCTTGACAATGGGCAAACTCAGATCGGATAATACGATTTTATTATCCAAGATTGCATCTTCTGGAGAATTAGCAGATAAGGACTGCCCAGAATCATCAACTGCAAGTTGTTTGAGGGAAGAATCTACTTCAGTTATTTTCACGTTTTCACTTTCTTCTTTCTTTAACAACTCAGTGGGAAGTAAGCAAGATGGGCGAGCATAAATCCTGTCAAAACCAGTCAATAGAAAAAAATAAAAGCCATTTACATACAAACTAACATTATGAGACAAGCCAGTTGCTCCCGAAAGCACCCAAAGGAATTTGAAAAGATGTATAGATACTTGTTTTGAAATTTACAAGGTCAGTATTACATTTATGACACTATATTAAATCCAAATTTACTTAAAACCAAGATGAAAACAATTAGATATTAATTCAATAGGAACTCTCTTAACAACATCTAGCTTATATTTTTCTCCAAATTTGTACTTGTACTTTTCCACATAGACTGTTACGTAACAACTTCCAAAGCACTTAACACTCGCAAACTATTTATTGGGCAATTATGTTTAAGACTTTGGATCAAAAAAATTATGTTTGACTGGGGAATAATAGAACTTACCTGCTATACAATAACATATAAGCTCCCTGCGAAAGCACTTCATCCAAATCAACATTAGCAACCTAAGGAGGGAGTTTGTGACAAATGTTAGTGCATGCCTGATTTGTTTGCTTTCTAATAGTATGAGTAGAATACCACCAAACTTACTACAACAACATATAGTTGTATGCATACTAAAGCTTTATAACAGAAAAACTAGCCTCAGCAGCTGTATACTACTTAACAGATCAACCAAAAATAGCAAAACCATATTTTTATCCTCCAATGTTTCAAGAAACAGGTTTCATCTAGGATTTTTGTAAGTAAATATCAGTAAAATGCCATACGACAGAAATCTGCAAGCTTCTCAAGTACCACATTCACTAGTATGGGTGGGTTATTTCGTGTTTCCCTTTCTCATAGATCACTAATTATACATTAAACATTAAACCAGCAAACAAGACGAGAAAGCATGAGACATGGTTTCTATTGATTGCAATTCCAAAGACCAGCATGCACCGTGCAAATGTTTGATGTCCTAAAATCCCGTATATTGGAACTTAGGTACATGCAACTATGCAATCCAAGAGAGGGGGCAAGTATTATTACCTTAGAGTCATCAATTCTGTACCAGCTTCCACGGAAGTCCTTCACATAGCAGATGTAGTGGCCAAAAAAGGATGCATTTAGCATGTCCACATGTACAATAACAGCATATAGCTTGTAAACATCATTTCCATCTTCTAATTCACTCATGTATGGGCTGAGATTAAGCGTCTCTGGGAAATTCACCCTTTTATTAAGTTTCCCAAATCTTCCACTCTGCAAGAAGAGAGTGTAATTTCTTCATCAGAAACTAAAGGAAACAATTAAATGGAATCCCTTGTCTGAAAGCTAAAATCCATTACAAACAAGTACTGAAGTCAGGGAAGGGAAAAGGAAAGATGAGACGGGGTGGGGGTGGGGGTGGGGGGGAAGAGAAAGCGAGAGGTTGACTCTTTAATTTATGAAAAAGCACCAATGGAAACTTCTCTACATATAATAATAAGCTTGTTACCATTCATTCAAACATGGTCTGCATTGGCTTAGCCAAAACACTGATATCATTAAACACTTTTGAACCTTTTTGCAACAAAAAAAAAAATAGAAGTTGAAGAAATACAAAGGACTGTTGACACATTGTATATTGTATTGACTGAATCGTCTGCCTCTGCATACTATAGATATCTGGTAAAATGAATCAGCACGGCATATTTAAAGAGCTGACCTGAAATCTTTTCAATGCAATTGTAAGAATGTTTGGTGCCCGCTGAATCGTAAGGCGTTTCCATGCCATGACATAAGCATTGCAACTGCAACAATTCATTACAATTTAGTCAAATATGCTTAGCCAATATATAATATCAAAAAGTGCACGTTAATTTTGCATCGAGGAACAGCAATCCAAAATATAAGAACAATGGTAGGCATCAAATGAAATTGCAAGTCAAAGGAATCATGTGCCAGCTGTAGCAATTAAAAAGGCCAAGAAAAAAGTTGTGTATTAAGTTGAGTGAGCCACCCAACATATTATGGAGAAGAATTAACATAACACAACTAGACATTAAGCTATCTACCAAAGAAAAAACCATCCATGAGATGGTAAAAACAATTCAGCTGGCAACTTGAGGTTCAGGTAGTTCTGGATGTGTATTGGGGTGTTGTGAGGATATATTTGGTACTTTGTAAAATGTATTGGGTAATGTGTAGAATTGTGTTTTTTGAGGGAACATGGTATTAAATGTTTGATTATGTATTTGAGAGATGGAAATATTTTTGGGGGACGAATACCAAAAATTGCCTCAGATTCCAGATCTATATTACTGGCAGAATATGGCCAAAGAACAAGTAGCATAATGAATGATGCTGCAAATCAAACACTTACCCATCACATTTATACATATTATCCCCATGAAGCCACTCTTTGGCAGTGAATTGATCCAAACACTCCTCCAAAGATCCAGCATCCCCATGAATTTCAACAGTTAAATCCATCAAATTCTCAAACTGGTTTGAAACATTATCACATTCTGCACATATAACCTGGAACAGGAAAATAATAAACAACCAAGAGAGAGAGAGAGAGACTACAAGTATATAAAAATAGAAAAGAAAAAAAAAAGAATATCATATTTTGGTAAGTTTAAATGCAAATTGATGCATTGATGTGGTTTATATAGCAGAGCGGCAATTCGGCAGATAAGAGTTAATGTCGAATCCTAATTTTATATTTTCATTAGCAAAAATAAAATTTTCCCCAAAACAACTTGCAATATTAATATTCACGTCAGATGATTGATCGTCATGTTTGGAATTCCAAAAAAAATGTCGTGGCAGGATCAAATCACTTGGTCGGCTTTCACAACATTCTTCTATATATATCAATTTGATATATTTAATCATCCCAGTAAAAGACTTTCCTGAATCACTTATATCTATGGGGAGGCATATAATTTAAAAATAAAAATAAAAATATTTAAAATAAAAAAAACCAAAATCGAAAATAAAAGATCAGGCTTGATCAATGCAGGCTACCTGAGATCGAAGCCGACCTCCAAATATATGTTGAATAAGAGTTGTCTCTTGATAGCTAGGGTGAACAGCCTTTTCTCCACCAAATTCGTCAAGGCACACAGACTGCATCGTGTCAATGGCAAACCTGCAAACAATCAATGTTACTTAAAATAGAATTGATTATACACCAAAAAAAGATAAAGCTATTGCTCAAATATAAAATGGCGCAAAACAAGTAATAAACACCTCATAAACTCGTGTGAATCCTCCTGTTTCCCATAGCCAAGATTACCGCCTATGTTCGGCAATCTTGAGAGAATGTTCATAGGAGAAAATGGATGAAGGCTCCGGCTAGCCCTTTCGACATGTATTTGAAATTCACACAGAAAGCACCAATCGTCCTTTTGACCTGGAGAACAAAGAGGAAAAGAATATTCACCACAATAAGTACAAAAGAGGAAACGATGAATAGATGTATTTGAATAGAATATAGAAACGGATACACAGTTTTAATCAAGTCAATTACATTCACTCCTATGGCCTTTCTCCAACACGTAGGCAACAAGTGGCCGGGTATATGCAAGACATTGAAGAACCACATTAGCAAAGCAACTGCATTGAAGTAAGACGGGAAAAAACAAGTTGGTTATTGACAATGCAGGTGATAGAGAAATAAATTGCAAAATGAAAATCATCACTTACCTGTTTCCACAATTTAAAAGTCCACAAGGAGGATAACCTGGCTTGTCCCAATTGAAAAATTCTATGAATTCCTCATACGGGAAAAGTATCTGAACAATAAAAATGCAATGAAGTTCTGGTCAATGCATGTATATGCTTATGTATGGTAACTGGTAAGCAATTTAAAAGTTGGAGGAGATTGGTGAAATACTTTATTTGACTGTTTGATAATCTTTGAGCTTCCACCCATGGCAACTACCGAACCTTTCTTTCCCCTCAAAGCGAATGTTTGTTTTGAACGGAGCAAATCCTTGCATTTTGTCTTGTGCCCAGAATCCCAGTGAGATTTTTGACAACCTCCAGAGCTAGAATTTCAGATGCAGAGGATATGTTAGCCAGAAAGTAGAATCAGTATTAAAGAATTATAAATGCATTCTGCTTACAAGGTTATAGTCCTATTATAATTATTAGCATGGGTACCATTCATGGAAAAAGAATACTAAAGTGTCACAAAAAAAAAAGCCTATAAAAAGCCTGTAAAACATATTGTGAAAGAGATAAGGAAAAATAAACCCGATGAAGAATTCTGAAAACTAAACCTTTAAACCACAGATTAGCAGATTGTACAAGACCCTATAGAATGATTAGAAGCAGTTTTCCAAGGCAAACATACAGATCTTAATGGCTAAAATCAGATATTAGAAAATTCGGTTGACAACAGATGAGGACAAATGATGCTTATGAGTGCTAAAAAACTGTAGTTTCCATAATAATTCTATAGATACACCAGTCTGTCTTAAATAAATCAAGATATTAACGGTTCCGGTAATCTTAGATCATTCAAAATGTCCAATATATGGAATAGAAACTAGTATATTCTTGAGCATTTTTATTAAGCTTAGTTGCCCTGTACGATAAAGAACAGTCTATGTTCGTCATCATGCGCACACGGGCACAACTCACAAGCAAACGAAAAGCTGAATAGTAAGGGCTTAAATGACTACAGATTTTACAATCTAAATCTGCACAAGTATTTAAGGTTATATCGTAAGCAGTAAAACAGAAGCCGAAAATAATTACGCTCAAAAAGGATAGTTCCGTTACTATTAACGAAACTAGAGCCACACATGCTCGTGCACATCCTAGCATTGAAGAACAACGTAATTGAAAATAAACAATAACACAAAATCCCAAATCACTCTATCCTTTACTCATCAATGCTCAGCCACTATAATAAAAAATAAAAATAAATAAAAAAAATAGAGAGTATAACTGTGTAAATAGTGGCGCCTACCAGTACTTAACCATCTTGCAACGTGAACATTGTTTATTCGTGGAACGGCCTATTCTCAATTGTTACCAGATCAACCTGGATGCTGACTGCCGTCTTCAAGAAAAATGGGAGGCTTGCCTTCCTTTTTT